TTATTTATTTTTTTCCTTACGTGATATAATGTAAATTTTTTTATTAAATTTTTAAATTCAAACATTTAAAGGAAAAGATCACAAGAAGATTTTTAAGGTACATTCCATTTTATCTTAACTTTCATATAATCACATTCCTAACAAACTAATTAATATAATTACATTTATCTAACCTGAATTTTCAAAATATAACTAATATAATACTTTAACTAATTAATCTTTTGTCTAACCGAATTTCTCTCATTAACAAACTTGCCAAAATTTTTGAAATTAAAATAGTAAGATTATTCTTACGGGTATACTTACCAAAATATTAAACACTTTAAAAAACTTTTTGAAAACAAATTTGATTTATTCCATCTTTTACTCTATTTGAAATTAAAAATTAAATATTTAAATATATTCGTAAACATTATTATTTATTTTCTCCTTATGTGATATAATCTAAATTTAGTTATTGGATTTTTAAATTCAAACATTTAAAGGAAAAGACCACGAAAAGATTTTTTGGTTGCATTTCATTTTATCTTAACTTTCATATAACCACATTCCTAACAAACTAATTAGTATAATATTTTTTATCCACATTTATATAATTAGATTTCTTAAAATGTAATTAATATATTATTTTAACTAATTAATCATTTATATAACTTGATTTATCTCATTAACAAACTTGTGAAATCTTTTTGAAAATAAAAAATTTTGGATGATTTTGATTTGTAAGAAAATACAAAATAACTTTACTTTAAGGTCTGGATTCTTTCAATTATTTTTTGTACATTAACAATCATATATTGGATAATTGATTTAAAAAAATCAAAACTGTAAAGTTTAATAATATTCCTTAAATAAAAAATATTGTATAAATAGAAGTGTTTAATAATATATATTTTTCATTGTTTGTATTTATTTTATATCCATAATAGATGAGATGTGAAAAATATAAAGAGTTATATCTAAATTGAAGTTTCAAAAAAGAGGTTTAAAATATGAGCTCCTCCGTGCATCGCACGGGATATACACTAGTACCGAATCAAGAGTCATTGTTTTCCAAACATTAACATATAATTTTCACTAAGCTCGGTTTGAAAAATCCATGCTAAATGAATAAATGCGCGTAAACATCTGTTCGCAACATCCAATATCCCTTTATATATTAATTCAAAACGTGTTGAGCCTCGCCTGTTTTGGAATCCTTCATGTCACAATATCATGCTTTATAATTAGGTTCGGATAAAAAATTTAGAAACAAAATTGGCTTGGAAAGTGCCATAAATAATTTTTTCACCATACATTATTGTCTTTGTTTGCGTAATGAATAATGATGAATTAAAATTATATATTATAGGTATATAGATATTATTATTAGTGATATCTTAACTAAACACGTCCCTTATCTTAATTATCATCCTTTATTTTATTTTTCCAAGTTGATAAATTTTTGTCCATTCATAATGTCAATGTACAGTAGTTTGTTTTTTTATGAAACTTCCATTTATTTATTTTGTATATACTTATAATAATTAAACTATTTTACTTCTTTATTCAAATTATTTTTTCATGCACCCGTGTAGTACACGAGTATCATACTAGTGTGATATTAAAGGACATATTAAATTGTCTATCAAATCACTATGTAAATTACTCAAGTAACAAAATAAATAAATAAACAAAGGAAAATGATAACACACAATTTTATAAATTAAGAAATTAATTCGTGAATTAATTATTTATCGAACAACATTAATAGAAAATTAAAACTTTATAAAATTTATAATATATAAATATATTAGGACAAATAAATATAAAATTAAATAAACATTATCTTATTAATTTAGTTTATAGATTATAAACTAGAACGTATACTAGGATTAACTTGCAAATACTTCACACTTACAAGGTTGATATTTCAATATCGCAATATAGAGGAATTATTTATTGAATTATATATTTCATATTTTCACTTATTCACGAGCAAAACTTCAAGCCTAAAGTCATATCACTCTATACATAATTTTCAAATGTGTCAGAGTTAAAGACTTAAAGTGACAAACTCGCACGCTTCGGTATCTTATATGGCAAAATTTTATGCTTCGTAGTTGGTTTGAATATATTTTAATTAACTCCCAATCTAAAAATTATAAGGCATGGAATTTTTTCCTCCAGTTTAAAACTAATACAATACCCGTGTATTACACGGGTGTTTGTTAAGAAATTTATATTTAAAAATAAACATAATAAAAATATATTTTAATATTCAAATACATTTTTGAATAATTATATTACTATTTATATTTAAAATAACATTCATTAGTTATACGACTTCCCATCTTATATTAGAATAATTTTTTAAATTATATCATTTGACAACTTTGTAGTTAAATTAATTTAAATAATTTATTTTATTATTTAATATTAATTATTAACAAATATTTTAATTTTTATATATTATTTATTTATTTTATATGCGAAATATATGTGTCAAAATAAAACTCATCATGATTAATTCAATATATTATGTATAAAAAAATGATAATAAATAAAAAAATTATGAACTTTTAAATATTCTTGTAATTTTAGTTAGTAATTTTTTCATAATTTTAAATGAAAGACGAGGAAACGAAAGATTGAGAAAAAAAATTATGATATAAATTACGTCTAGAATAGGAAATGTAACATAATTAATGCTCTTAAAAATGACCATAAATATCTAGTATATTTATGACTATTTCAAACCTAATTAATTTTGAATTGAGAGTAAATTGAAATTCATCCAAGCCAAATGACAAAGTATGAAAATTTCTCACATAGAATCCTAAAGCATGTGAGTCTGTCACTTATTGGAAATTAATTATATATAGGGGAATAGGATCCCGAAGTATGCGAGTCTGTCACTTAGGTGCAGCATATTCGAGAATCATATACAATGGGGGTTATAAAACACTTTAAACATAGTTTTTAAAAATTAGTAACTTTTGTATCTGTTATTAGTATTTCATATATAAGAAAATCAAATTAATCATCTCTTTATAAGCTTCTAGTATTCATATTGTATATATATAAAAATAAATAACTAATATATTTTAAATTCAAACCAGACCTTTTTCATTATTTTTTAAATTTATTTTTAGTATTTTAAAAAGCTCCATGTAATACACGAGGTATTTTACTAGTAAACATCATTAAAACAAAAGCAAAATCAAGAATTGTTGTTTTAAAAAAAAACGTTTGCCTAAATTTTTCATTGGGCACGGTCCAGGATTTTGCGCGTCCCAGTATTTGTCCACTTCTAAAGACATAATTGCTTAGGGCGCAAGTCATAAAATATTTTTCAAATATATATTAACTCATTAAATTGTTAATAGATCCAATGTATAATACCAAATATAAATATATGATAGTAAAATTTATAATACGAATCCATATATATATAATAAGAATTACCATTTTTCAAATATGGCAAGTCAAATTTCGGTCAACATCAATTACCTACCATTCTTAGTAACTTTTTATTTTTGTTTTTTCAAATAATCATATTAACAATATATTAACAGAGTGTTTAACAGGTTTTGTCATATAGATACGTGATTTTCACTTCAAATTGAAATTGTAACAGGCTTTGTTCATTAAACATTGACAACATGTTAACAATAATTTTTCAATTTATGAGGCTTTGTTCATAAATTTTTCAACATGTAAAAGCCTGTTAACCATTTTTCAAAGCTTGTTAATACATTTCAATTTTTAATAACAATTACCATGTGAATATGACAACAATAGTTATTTATTAGTACATTTCAATTTTTAATATTCCCCAAACTTCAAATAATCTTATTAATAATACTTTTCGGACAACATGTTTAATGATTAATGAATATTCATATATCATTTTATTAATATGTATGTGAATAAAACAATATTTTATTATAATTTTATTAATGTAGAGTGAATATGGTTTTGAGAATCGAACCGTCATCGAAACGATCAAGTTATTCTATTAAATCATTTATGGTTTGTTCAGATTTTAATTTATAAACATTTTAATATCTATATATATAGTACTTTTTGTAATAAATTTAAATAAAATGTGTTAATTAAATATCTAAACGATTTATAAATTCAAATGTTTAAACTAATTGATAAACAATTTATAAATCTCTATTTTATTTAAATATGTAATTTTATTTAAAATAATTTTAAATGTAACAAAATTTATTTAGAAAATCGTATCGATCCTACCAGTCCAACCGACTAGTGTTGACGGATTTGATAGTAAATATTTTATTCAAGCGAACTACACTAGTTATAAACGGGTTCTCGGTCCATCCGGTCGGACCGTGTCCAACCCAGTGTAATTTAAAAATAATAGGTAAATCGTAATTAATGATATTTATATATTTAATTTATAATATAATCGTATTGTTTTCCCGTGCAATACGCACTAGTACATATAACTAGTTTCATCCTATGCACATACACAAAGAAAAAAAAATTATATATTATATGTATTTATACCAATGTTCTAAAAACCGGACCGGACCGGCTGGTTCGACTGGGAATCGGCCAATACACAGGTCCAGTTTGAGGTATGGAACCGCTAGGGTACAAACCGGTCAAAAACCGATGAAACCGTTAAACCAGAGTGGGACTGCGGTTCAGTAGTGAACTTTAAATATGGCAGATTGTACAATCATATAAATAGCTCCAATGTGTAGTTTATGTCTCCGATTTGGGATAGTCACAACTTGTGAGTCTGTAGCCATTTCGGTATTATTGCCTGGGCCCACCTCACAAATAAATAAGAGGAATTTACACTGTATACCAAGCGATATATTTTATATTACATTTATATACTTAATAAATATTTATTTGCAAATATACAAAATTCACCCTACTTATTTGCAATTATACCAGATTTTAGTTTTGCTAATTATATCTTTTAAATATAGAAAGGAATAGATAATATCCATAATTGATCCCAATCCAAGAGAGATAAAATGATTTCGCAAAGAGAAAGAGAGACTACACGAAAGGTAGATTCGATGGTGTCGAGGGGCTACAACAGGATCGAGGTTCTCCTGCCGGAGAACATCTCAGAGTACAACCGGCTACGGGGGCTGATCCCGCAGCGGTACGACGGGAGGCGGTCTCGCCCTGCGGCGATTGTACCTCGATGGGAACTACCTGAACGGGTCGCCACCAGAGGCGTTTCTTCGCCGGTGGGTGACTGGGATTCTAGCAGCTTGGGGGACAACTGCCTGGAGCGGTCTCCGGCGAGGTCTGGGCTTTGCCTAAAATCGTAGAAGCCGGTGGCGATTTGCCGATAGGCATACGGTGGGAAGCCTTTCTTCCTGAATTGTTTTATATTGATCCGATTTAAATTGCTCCCATGTGAATATATTGTCTGAATTATATGATGTTGTACATAATCATGAAACACTTGAAGTTTCACATTAATGTGCTTTCACCTGTAATTATCTTTTGTTGAATAGTANAAAAAAAAAAAAAAAAACCACCCCCAATCAGTATATGTTGAGTATATAGACATTATATTTTCAGTTTATAGACATTTTACGTCAGGATTATTTACATTTTGTTCAGACGACACGTATATGTTGAGTATATCGACAATATATTTTCAGTTTATAGACATTTTATGGTTTCAAAATATTCAAAATATGATTTAAAACAATAATAAACTGATTTTTTTTGGTGTTGTGTATATGTATAGTTTATATACATAGTCCATTCATCATATAATGAATGAAAATCATCATAGGCGACTTCATCCACAAAAATATAAAGAACATATACCTTTAATATACCCAAACAAAACGATACATAACAGAAGATGGAGTATATGTTCAACATATGTTCTGTATATTAGAAGATTTTTTTTTGTATAGGGAATATAAGTAACATGTTATATTATGTTTATAAACTATATATATACTTTTATGTATAAAAGTTAAAATAAAAAAAAATATGAGACATATTTTTGATGGAAGACATGTTTTTCCTTGCAACATATACTGAATATATACTCACATAAACGCAATATATACCACCTGACAACTGCGTGAATTACAAAACATGTTTTTATTTCTCTCTATAAAACGTACAAGTGCGCGAATTAAGGAATTAAATGAGTCATTTTTTTATTTTCAATACTCTCTCTTAATCAAGTGCATAAAAAGGGGGATGGAAGTGTGAAGGATATGGTAACTTACTTTAGGCATTAATATAGATAAATATATTGTTGTAAGTAGAGACATAATTATTTTTACTTATATGGTAAAATTGCAATTAATTTAAAATCACATAGCATACATAAAAATTTCCCAATAAATAACTATTTTGGGCCCTTATGGGGGCCTTACCTCCAATTGTTTGGTAGCTGCATTGTTTTGGGTCTTCCAAATAGTTGAATTGTTTTGTTAACAAGTAGCTAAATGATTTTGGGCCATCAAAAATCTTATCCCAAAATACAAAAAATAAAACAATGCATATTGGTTATAAGCCTACACGTGAAATCAAGCATGGTAGCTAAAATAATTAGAATATGCATGATTTATTTTATTTTTTCTTTTATTTACTTAGGAAATGTCATTATACATTAAAAAATTATATATTATACATACAAAATAAATATATACAATTATATATTATACATACGATTATACACTAAAGATATATACAATTATATATTATACATACAAAATAAATAAAAATTATATATTAATAAATCGAATCGACTGGTTCGACCAGTGAACCATTGAACCAGTAGCTTCACCGGTTCGATGACCGGTTCGATTTTCAGAACATTGATTTATACAATATTTAATATTTTATAAAGATAATGGATGTATTACATTTTAAATTTTGACTATATGAGAATGTATAATGTAAATATAAATTATTTAACTTACGTATGAATCTTTATATTGATGCCACAAATTTTAATGGACATTATAATTTTATAATTTAGAGGGACCATACAATTAACTAGTTAGAAAAGTATTATAATTATTTTTATTATTGTTATAGCAATTGTTTATGTGATTTTAAAGTATTTAAAAATGACACTCATGCCAATTAACTAATATTATAATAATCGCTTACAAAGACAAAATATTTTATTTGAGAAAAAGTATTTTAAATAAAAAAAATTGCAATAAAATTTAGTATATGTAACTTCCACATACTATTTAATTAATGTAAAGTTATAATCAATTAGTATTTATTGTAATATTATATAATAAATTAGTTTAAACATTGTCATTATATTTTTCTAATGTAAAATGTAACGTTTCTACATTAACTGAAAAAATGAGCGGGAAACTTATGAAGATTTTATTAATTAGGTTTTATTTATTGCTCTGCCAACAATTATATATATATAGATATACAAATATATAAATATAATATTGTGTACGAATATAATTAAACGAGACAAACGGTCTGTGATAAAAATATTTAAAATCGACACTGACATTGTTTTAAAATATTCAAAATAAATAATAATCTTTTGGAACTATATTTTTCAAAACTATATTCAAAAAATTGAGGCACAAGCAGGGTTCAATTTCTGAATACCCAAAACTGAAGGGGTCCTACAATAGTTCTCTAAATAAATAAATAATCTATTTTAAATTCAAACCAAACCTTTTTTCATTATTTTCTAAATTTAATTATAAGTTTCTTAAAAAGCTCTATGTAATACACGAGAGATATTCGCAGTAATCATTATTAATTTTTTTTTTTCCGAAACATTAAAACAAAATCAAAATCGAGAATTGTTGTTTTCAAAAAACATTTGCATAAATTTTTCATTAGGCTCAAATCTAAAGGATACATAATTGTCTATTAACTCTTGCATTCCCTATGCTATGCACTGTAAGTGAGAAGCAATTCTACAGTTTGTGCAGTGTGAATTAGAGGGGAAGAGGAGGAGATGCAGTGGTACGTCGTCGCTTCACTACTTACCATCCTCACGAGTTCTCAGGTTTNTTATCTCAGAATTTGCGAACCTTGATCTGTACGTGTTCTTGTATGTACCATCTTTAAATTTCTCCGTATGTTTCGAGTCTTTTGAGTAGCGCCCCTTTTGTTTTGGTTGATTTCGGCAGGGAATATTAACGACATTATCACAGAGTAATGGGGGATACAAATATGATTATGCAACTGTGCCTTTTCTTGCTGAGGTCTTTAAGGTAATCAATCTCGATTGTGGAATTATCATTATTCCTTAAGTTGCATTCAGTGTTGGAAGCGCTCTTTTATTTAAGGTTAAGGTGAAAAGATTCTCTTTCAGTGCTTAGGTTTTCCAATTCTATACATTTTACTTGGATTTCCTCTGCAATTGACTAGTCTGTGATGAAATGCAGCTTATAGTATCATGTGTGTTACTGTGGAGAGAGCGCCAGAGGATGCCTCCTCCGAAAATTACAACAGACTGGAAATGTGTCAGACTATATCCAATCCCCTCGATAATATACCTTATTCACAACAATGTTCAGTTTGCTACATTGACATATGTTGATACCTCCACTTATCAGATTATGGGCAATTTGAAGATTGTCACGACTGGAATACTTTTCAGGTTCTACCAAACAGCTCACGCCTGTCTATTGCTTCACATAAACACCTGTAGCTTTAAAGATAGGGGCTGTATGTTACAATCTAATATAGTTGTTGATTTTCAACAACTTAGCAGATAATGTAATTTCATGTTTTAGGCTGTTTTTGAAGAGGAAGCTTTCTAATTTGCAGTGGATGGCAATTATTCTGTTGGCTATTGGGACGACCACAAGCCAGGTGTTGGTTGGATCCTTTTGTTTTCTTTTTCTCTCTTCCACTTTTAATCATGATAAAAGATTAATTATTTTTAACTATGCAGCCTTACATATGCAAATTTATAGTATGATAGATAGATGTGGTCTCAAAATGTACCAGGAATGCAGTTTAAACTCTTAATGGACCATAAATACGTAGTGTTCTCTGATTGTATTTTTCCGTAGTTGGAAATTCTTTTTCCTCTCAGGCTAGTTGTGATGATTTTTGGAGAAGCAGTAATATATTGCATGATTGTCGTAGCATAGGAGTTTGATTGCTCAATTGATAGTTATTTCTTACTGTTTCTTGGCTCCGGGCAGCTCTTATAGCTGTTCATGTTAACATGATAATCATTTTAAATTGCAATTTGTGTTGATCTTCATTATAGGTGAAGGGCTGTGGAGAAGCTTCCTGTGAATCGATCTTCTCTTCACCTATTCAAGGATACATGCTGGGTTTATTATCTGCTTGTCTCTCAGCATTGGCTGGTGTTTACACCGAATTCTTGATGAAAAAGAATAATGACAGCTTATACTGGCAAAATATTCAACTGTATACGTGAGTCTCCTCCAAAGCAAAACCCTTGTTGCTATTACATACTATGAGTGCACACTTATTGGATATATTTTATTGTTCATTTATTCTTTCGAAGGTAACAACTTTATAATTTTAATTTGAATTTAGAATTCGGTCAATGATATTTATTATGTTAACATGTATCAAGAAATTTTTGCATCTCAGATTTGGTGCAATATTCAATTTGGCAAAACTCATCTTGGATGATTTTAGAAATGGGTTCGAGAAAGGACCATGGTGGCAACGGTTATTCAATGGATACAGCATTGCAACTTGGATGGTAGTTTTAAACCTTGGGTCCACTGGTCTTTTAGTGTCATGGTTAATGAAGTATGCTGACAATATTGTTAAGGTACCTTTTTCTAATAATGTTTTTCTGGTAATGGATTCTGGGTTCAATGTCTTCTTCAGTTTTCTTAAAAATATAAAATGAAAAAAAAAAAAGAAAAAATCTGAAAGGTACTTTCATTGCCTTGGTGACTCATGAATTTTTTTGACTCGGTGTTATACGGTGGAAAAATATTCAACTAAGTTCGTATGCAAATATTGGAGAGCATAATAGTATTCAGTTAACTAAATGCTATCATTTCACTACTTTTGCAGACCCTAATATGCATTATGTTCCCTAACTGTATGTACAAGACATGATTAAAGGATTCCAAGAAAAAAAAATTCAAGCATGCTATAATTTTGTTCTGGACTAGCATGCTTGGATATATCCGCTCAAAATGAGTTTTTTGGTTAACTAGGGTTAATTTAAAAAAAAAAGGTGGTATGGTTAGTTTTTAGTGGGATTTTGAGTCTAAATAATTAAAGTCGATTTGATGTAAACCGTAGAAGAGATATGATGTGAAGTGATGGTTAGTTAAAATTATGTGAGTGGTTAAATAGGGAATTAAAGTTGATGTGATGTGTAAGAATTGTTACGAACTTTAGGGTTTTGACGAATGAATGAATAATCACAGAGGAGAGGATGCCCATATATATAGACTTAGGGCCTTAAGTATATGGGCTGGGCCTATAATAGTTAACACCCCTTCAAACTCAAGGTGGAGGTGGAGGTGGAGGATCCGAAGCATTGAGTTTGAGCAAGTGAAGCAGATGCTGCTCTCTAGTTTGTGCTTTGGTGAAAAAATCAGCCACTTGCAGTTCTGACGGCACACACTGAAGAACAATTATTTTTTGATGACAGTGAGATCGGGTAAAGGAAGCATCAACACCAATGTGTTTTTTGTAAGTTCATGCTTTAGTGGATCATTGACAATTTGGATTGCTCCAGTATTATCACAAGGTGTAGGATCATTACATGGAATACCAATCGGCTAACAACCATTGAAGCCATATAATTTCTGAGGTGGTAGTAGCAAGTGCTCGAAGTTCTGCCTCTGTGCTAGATCGAGATACAGCTGTCTGCTTCTTGGACTTCCATGTAAGGGGAGAAGAACCAAGAAAAATGCAGTAACCAGTGACAGAACGATGATCAATGAAATTACTCACCCAAGTAGAATCCGAGTAAGCATGAAGCTGAAGCGGACTATCACGAGCATATAATAAACATTGAGATGATGTTCCCCTTAAGTATCGTAGCACGCGAAGCAAATGCCCAAAATGAACCGAAGTAGGGGCACTCACAAACTGACTCAATATATGAACTGCGTGAGCAATGTCAGGCCTGGTAACAGTAAGGTAAACAAGACTGCCTACAATATGACGATAGCGAGATGGACCCTCAAGAGGCGTACCATCAGTGGGACGAAGCTGTAGGTGAAGATCCATAGGTGTAACTGCTGTCCGATTATCAGTAATACCGGAACGAACAAGAAGGTCTTGTATGTATTTGGACTGAGAAATGTAATAGCCCGAGGCAGAATGCATCACCTCAATGCCCAAAAAATAGCTAAGAGGGCCCAAATCGGACATCTAAAATTGTTGACCGAGTTGCTTCTTGACATGAAAAATATGCTCTGCATCATCTCCCGTAATTAACATATCATCAACATATAGAAGAAGTAGAGTACGCCCACGTGGAGAGAGATGAATAAACAAAGCAGGATCATGATCACTAGGGGGGAGAAACCAGCAGCCCGTATGACAGAGACAAAACGCTCAAACCAAGCACGAGGAGCTTGTTTGAGACCATATAATGCGCGACGAAGATGACAAACATGTCCAGAGGGGGCATCAACACCCTGTGGTGGCTGCATATAAACTTCCTCATGCAGATCAGGCATTCTTCACATCCATCTAAGATAGTAGCCACTGCAATCAAAGTACGGACAGTAGTCATGTGAGCAATGGGAGTAAAAGTCTCATCATAATCTCGCCCCTGAGTCTGCTGAAAGCCTCTAGCAACAAGACGAGCTTTATATCTCTCAATGGAACCATCCGACTTGGTCTTAATCTTAAAGACCCACTTACAGGTGATAGGCACTGCATGCGATGGTAACGGTACAAGATCCTAAGTGCCAGTACGATCAAGTGCAGCAAGTTCCTCTGACATAGCCAGTTGCCACTCCGGAATACTCGAAGCTTCCTGATAGGTTGAGGGCTCATTAATAATAGCACCCGCACGTGGAAAGCCAACTTATCAGGAGGCTGAATAATAGCACGATCACGTAATTATATCTCTGACTAACTTCAGACTCTCCAGGAATGGCATGTGACACATCAAAATCAGCAGAATCATCTAGGACGGGAGCATCAGGACTGGCCATTGTAGTAGAATGAGGCGGAAGCATTGTGTGACCTTTGGAACTACGAGTATAAACTTGTGTGATGGGTTGTTTATGTGGTGGAGGCGCATCAGAAATGGGTGGTGTATGCTCATTAGGAGTGGAAGATGGAGAAGAGACATGGACATCATCATCAAGAAAGGAAATAGGAGGAAGACATCAAGAATAACGTAGACTCTGAAGTAGAAGAAGAAGATGTGGGATAAGTGGAAGGATTATAAAAGAAAGGACGGTCATCAACAAAACTGACATCACGAGATATACGCATGCGACGAGCAGAAGAATCATAACAACGATAACCCTTATGCTCAGAACTATACCCCAAAAGGACACACTCAACCGACTGAGCAGTCAACTTAGTGCGCTCACAAGGAGCAAGCAAAACATAGCATGTACATCCGAAAACCCGAAGATGTTCGTAGCTAGGAGGAATACCAAAAAGAACCTCACCAGGACACTACCAGACATTTTGGAAGATGGCTGTCGATTTATAAGATAAACAGCTGTAGACACAGTTTCTCCCCAAAAATGAGAAGTAACAAATGAGGCAATGAGAAGGGTTCTAGCAGTCTCAATGAGATGGCAGTGTTTTCTTTCTGCAACACCATTCTGAGCGTGTGCACCAGGACAAGAGAGTTGGGCAAGAGTGCCCTCAGAGCTGAAGAAAATTGTTAGACAAATATTCACTACCAGAATCAGAACGAAAAACTCGAATAGGAGTAGAAAACTGAGTATGAACCATGCGAGCAAAGTCTTTATAAATGGAACACAACTGAGAACGATGTTTCATAAAATAAATCCAAGTATATCAAGAATGATCAACAATAAAAAGAACATAATATTTATTGCCACCTTTTGTAGGAAAAGGGGACGGACCCCATACATCAGAATAATAAGATTAAAAGGTCTAGCAGAATAAGAAATACTAGTGCTATATGGGAGTTGCAGCTGTTTTCCGAGCTTGCAACCCTTACAATGAAAACTAGACTCAATAGATGTACGACCTAAACAACCAGTGCGAATCAAAGTAGACAAACGAGACCCACTCAAATGACCAAGACGATGATGCCACTTGGCGAAAGATGAGGTGGAAGACGAGGCAATGGATGACACACGAGCGGTAGAACCAGTGGAAGAGGGAAGATGTAAGGTGTCTAAGATGTAGAGACTCGGAGAACCTTTACGGCGATGGCCAGTCCCAATCATAACCCCGCTTCGACGATTCTGAATAAAACAAGATGAGTCATCAAATCCAACAAAACAGTTTTGATCAGTGACCTGACCAACGGAAAGAAGATTCATAGATAATTTAGGAACATAAGTGATATTAGACACTGAAAAACGTGAAGTGCGTAGAGAACCCTCATGAGTGATATGACAAGAAGTGCCATCAGCTGTCTGAATAGAAGCACCATCGGGGACCGCCTTGCAAGCAACCAACTGGGACTGGTCAGATGTCAAATGAAAAGATGCTCCAGAATCGAGAACCCAAGACTGAGGAGCATGGACAGGAGGGGCAGCAGCAGCAGAAACTGACCCCTGCTAGAAGGCGTACCACGAGCCCGAGCAGCACGGCGCGCACGATACTCAGCCAACTTTTTTGGATGCTGAGTAAAACAATTCTCGGCACTAAGACCGGTCATCCCGCAATGCTTACAAGGTTCAGAAGAGTCACCTCTAGGTGCACTAAGCCGTTGAGAAGATGTCCTTTGAGGAGCTGCCAGAACACTCTGCCATACAGACGGCGAAGCAACTGACAGAGAATGGAGACGAGTCTCTTCAGCAATCAAATCAGATAACGCCTGTGCTATGGTCAGAGTAGAGGAGTTATGAAGCAACCGTGTACGAATAGACTCAAATTCTGCTCTGACTCCCATGACAAAGCGATAAATAAAGAACTTCTCAACAAATTTATGTGCTGAACACTCCTCCGTCGAGCACTGAGGTACCATAGAGATCAATGGTCCCATCAAACGATCAAAAGCAGAGTAATATTCATCAATGGACATGGAGTGTTGTTCAATCATGTGAATTTTTTGCATAAGGGTGTGTAAGAGAGCACCACTATCCTGAACATAGCGCTGCTGCAAATAGGACCACATTCCTTTGGCTGTCCGAAAGGAAGAAAGACTCATAATCATGGACTGCTTGACACTGTTGACGATGGCAACCATCACTTTCCCATCATTAATCTGCCAGCATTGCTATTATCGGCCTTCCTTTCGGGTCCATCATCAGTGGAAAGCCAAACCATAACCCCTCAACACAGTTTCAACCGAAAAAGCCCACTCACGATAATTCTGACCATCAAGAGCAATATTAATAGCAATTGCATGAAATTGCGACATGATTTGACAAAAAGGTAGAACGAGCCGCGACGAAATATGAATAAAAGTGCTGCAACGGCCAGCGTAGGGGCACACGACAGACGATTGATGACAGCCGGAACGGATTAAAGTACACGAACCCTAACCCCGACAAGCGATGAATCTGAAAAAGGGCAAAACGCACACCAAAACGTCCCGAAACACAAAACAAAGAACACTGGCAGCACGAGCACAGGATTCCGAGTTCGCGGATGTTCGCCGGAAAAAATTCCGACCAGCCACGCGCCGGCACGTGAGATTGACGGCAGTGACTTCCGGCGGCGCGTGTAACTCACACGCGCAGCTTCTGATGGCGAAACTTGGCCGGAAAGTCTTTCTCGAGGCGGCAAGTTGACTGTTGAGATCGAAAAAAGATATTTGTGTAAGGCGCTGTGATACCATATTACGAACCTTAGGGTTTTGACGAATGAATGAATATTCACAGAGGAGAGGATGCCCATATATATAGACTTAGGGCCTTAAGTATATGGGCTGGGCCTATAATAGTTAACAAAAATGATGTTTGATATTATTTTATTATATTAATAATATTGAGGATAGTGGGGTTGTGTTAAAGTTGAGTTAAGTTTTGAGTATAGATTGAGAAAATTTATAAACAAACACAATGATCTCCATGATTGACACAATAAATCATAATGTTAACTGTTGGATGTGCATGCGTCATTTATCGAAATTATGTATATAAAATTCAATTGATTTGTTATTATTAATTTAAAACCTTTACTCTCTGATCAACGAATCCACACGCAATCTAATAGAATTTATGAAGAATTAAAACTATTAATTCAATTGTTTTCATTTCAATTTACTTCGTCTTGTGTGTCGAAAATCACAAGTTCATCTTATGTATCATTAAACTTGATCATCGAGAAGTCACTGAGATTGTCAAGATATCTAGAGAGTAAATACATTCCAAACATCATGAATCGTAACTTTGCAGCTTACAGGAACAGACCAAACAATTTTTTAACCCTGATATGTACCAACCAAACCAAATATGTAAAATGCTTTCTTATTGGCAATTGTACTTTTGATGTTCTTTCTTGTTTCTTCTCGAACATCAAATGAAATAAATAAAAGTCATTGACTTTATATTGGCAGGTTTATTCCACGTCCATGGCAATGCTATTGACTATGGTACTGTCTGTATTCCTTTTCAACTTCAAACCAACTCTACAGGTTGATGCTCTACTCTTCTCTTATTGTTCATGCATAAGATGCTGTCTGTGTTTTCTACTTTTCCTTTAAATTATTTGATTGATAGCTACTCTATGTTTGTGTTTTACCAGATGAGCATATTTTCTCATCTTAACGTGGTGACCTATCCATCATGATGTTTTGAAATATGAAACCAGTTTTACCGTTTAAGCCCTTTTACTGGATATTTTATTCCCTCGTGATTAATGAATGATAGGGATAACTACAGATAAGAAGAAACAAACATCAGTTTTCTTTCAAAAATTTCATATTCCCTCTTAACATGATTTATTTTACCGTTTTCACCTGTCGATACGGGTACTTGAAATATCGTTGGATTTTATGTAACTAGGCTAAACCCTGTGCTATAATTTGGTTATCAAACGATGATATTCTCCTCTGTTTTTTTCTTTTTGACATGTCGTGTATTTTGTCCGTGTACGTGCAGCTATTTCTGGGAATCTTCATCTGCATGATGTCATTACACATGTACTTTGCCCCACCAAACATGCTTTTGGATTTGCCTTCGACAACAAAGGCAGACCCTGAAAGTCTAGTTGAAGTTTCTGTCGACCGAAAAACGGTTTCATAGAGAGACTTTTATAAGAAAATCAATTCTTTCGAGGGTAATCTGTCTTATCGAGATCAACAAGCCAGGAATTACTTTCGAGGAACTTGTAAGATGTATTATCACGGCATGTTAGGTTTAGGACATCTAAGGCAGAAGTAACTTACAATGACTTTTAAACAAACATTTGATAAAATTGATGGAATTCAAAAAGTCTTGGTATATCATAGTCTTGTTCTTTTATAGAATTAATCCGTTTAAATTATCCTGTACATGTTGAGGCAGCCGTCTAATTCTGGTGATATAGTTACATCTGAAAGATTTGACAGTATTTCTTGTAAAAACTGTTCATTGAGTGTCTCTATGCCTATAATACAAATGTTCGTGATACGTTTTCGCTGATGGAAGGATTGTTTAATTTTGCGTTTTATTTTATGCTTGAAGTCACCAACTTTATTGTCTGCTTATATTAGTGAAATGAAAGCAGGTAAAATCCCTTGCCAGTTGCTGCATTATTGATGGCTCCATGTAAAGAAAGTATGTGTGTGTGTGGTTGAATTGTATAATGCTTTTGCCAGACACTAAAGGGCACTCATCAAATCATTTACACCTCTCATCAGCTGGCCATAAGTTATGAGCAGATACAACTACATGTGAGATTTTTGTGGTCTACAATGCAATAGGTATACAAATATTTATTTCCTATACTTTACTGTTAGGTGGTATATTGATGCAGATACAATTTGGACATTAACGGATCATTTTGTTATATTTTTTTTTTTTTTTCAAAAAAAAAACTAGTAATTAGTATAAATCCCAATTAACTTGTTCTGTACAAATAATAGAAATTTATTATCATAGTAATTACAGAAGCTGCTCTATGTCGCTATTAGTTGCTGCTTTTTGCTGCTAAGACTGTGAAAGGATGGGTGCATTGCACATTTAAACTTGGTGAACAAAATTGAATACATATGGAGCTAAAACCAACGGACTACCACTAATGAAATTCTAATGGAAAATTCCAAGAAAAATATATTACAATAGAATTCCAACGACAATTTCGATGGATATTACAATGCTATTATTTTCGTCGATATTTTTCAATGGATTCCAACGAAAATTCCAACAAGTATATTCTGTTGAAATGAGTTTTTCATTGGATTTTGACTATACTAACGGGTGTGGAAATAAAAATTTCAACAAAAATTCCTACCTTAAAAAACTAACTGTAGGAAAAATAGCAGTTGGAATCATCAAATTCCATCTAAAATTTCAATGGAAAACGCATTTCAACGGAATATGTTGTTGGAATTTTCGTTGAAATCATTCCAACGAAAGCTATACTATTGGAATATTCGTTGGAATTTTCATTGAAACATATTATCGTAGGGTTTTTTATTGGAATATAACATGAAAATAACAAAGAGGACAAATTTGACTTTCAAATCCAATCCTTTTCTCATCTTTATTTCTTCGAACGTCTATATTTCTCCATATATAAACTTCTCATTTAAATTGATCAATTCATGAGTATAGCCCTATTATGTTTTGGCATTCATAGCATTAAGGATTACTTAGCCAGCTTTATGTAAAACCATAATTTTCCCGGAATTTTATAAATATTAATTCGGTTTTTTATTGAAGCTTATTTGGGAAACACACACACACACACAATATTTAAAATATTTAAAAAATTGGATAGAATAGGTGTATCATGCATATCGTGTTTCCCTGGGCATTCATGATATGCTTGTTACGTGAATGCCAAGAATGATAAGGGTATGTTGGACTTGGATGTCATTTTTTTTGCACAGGAAATATTATCCTATATAATATTTAAAAGCTGAATTATTTTATTTATTCTTAATTTAAATATTTTTTTCTCATATATGCACTTTCAAACAATATTATGCCATTATAATAATTTTTTTAACCATTTTATCAACTCTCTTAATTCGTCAGAAGCGTCATTTTGAGTGGTACTGCACGTACTAACATAATTACTTTTAACTATCATATTTTACTATGTATATAACATCAATTGTCTTCTAAGTTCTAAGTCATTCTAGATAAACATAATTAATGACACAAATTTTGATTTTGATATTATATATATGTAACAATCACTACACATCACACCACCTTCATAGTCAATAATTACTAAACTCACATGTTAAAAAGTAGAAACGCACCACCTTCATAATCAATAATCACTAAACTTAGATATTATCCAACATGTCAAAATATTATCCACGTAGCATTTTTGCCACCATTACTGTGTTGCAAAATCAATCATCCCAAATTAATTCATACATAAAATCTAATTCAATTTTAACTCAACTATACTATCCTCAATATTATCAATATAATTAAACAAAAACAATTAACCAATCATTTTTACACATCATATCAGCTTTAATTCATTATTCATCCACTCACATAATTTTAACTAATCATCACTTCGTATCATCTCTCTCCTACTTTTACATCAAATCAACTTTAATTATTTTATTTTAAATATTATTTTAATATAAATTCAAAATCTCACTAACAACTAAATTTACCACATTTTTTAAATTAACTCTAATTAAAAAAAAAACTCACCTTTCAGTGAATTAAGTGGTTTACAAACACACCTAAGTAACTCTCTATTTAATCTCCGCCATAATTTAATTTATTTCACCTACCTCGAGAACACCACAAATCACACGCCCTCCCTTGAAATGGACTATAAATGCACCTCATGTGAAATGAAAAGATCAGTAAGAAAAAAAAAAAGAGTGAAAGAAGAATGGAATCCATCGGAAGTCCTCCGCCAGCACCCCTTAGTGGTGGCCGCGCCGCCGCCGGAGCAAATGGAATAGCGGCGTTCCAAATGCCACTTCACTACCCAAGGTACACACGTGTGGAGTACGAGTCCATGCCCGAGTGGAAGCTTGACTGCTTGTTGGCCCAATACGGCCTGCACGTGGGAGGAGACGTTGACCACAAGAGGAAATTCGCTATGGGAGCTTTCTTGTGGACTTGCTGAACTTTTATAGTTAAACAATAACGTCATTATTAATTTATTAGGTGATATTATGGTTAAACAAGTTCATATTTTATCGTGTGTGGTGTGTTTAATGTTCTTATGGGTTGCTTTAGTGCACACGTACTTGATCCCCACACAATGGATGCTCTTCAAATAACTTCTCCAGTTGGTTTTCTTGGGACTTTTTAATATATTCAATTAATGGGTCTTGAAATATATAGAAATGAGCATTTTTTTTTTTTTTTCTATTTCTAAATTGTATTATCATTGTTGTTTTTAACGTTCGGGGTTAGCATATAAATATAAAATGAAGACGCCAATGTGCATGTAGTATTAAAATAATGTGGATGCTCAAAATATAAACAAAAATTTATACCTAAACAAAAATAATCCTTTTATTTTCAGCAGCTTTACTGCATCGAGTGTCTATATTGCAATGAAAACTTGACGGCTTCGTAAAATGAAACTACAATCCCGACTGATGGGCCAGCTCGGGCTACTCGAGGGCCCGCTCCTGTAAATAACCCCTTAAAACCTCCATCCCTGATATTCGCAAGCAAAGGTATTACCCATTATAAAGTGAGATCACAGTCCATCTTGGAAAAAATATATATATATATATATATATATATATATATATATATATATA